TAATTAAGTTAAGAAAATAAGGGCTTGTTTGGTTTGTTTTTAAGAAAAATTTTTGGGAAAAATTCTCTACAAATAAATTTTCAAGAGTGATCAAACCAAACAAATTTTTCCAAAAAAAATCTCAAAATTTTGTTTAGTTACCTACTTACCAAAATCATTCTCTCTCATACACATCAAATCAATCATTTTTTTTAATAAAACTCGCTCCCCAAAACAAATTTTCAAAACCATTTATGAAAAAAGACAAACCAAACAAGTTTTCATACTTTTTATCTCAAAAATTACTCTACAAACACAAACCAAACAAGCACTAAGTCTTTCAAATTTAAGTTTAAAAGGTAGTAAATTGGAGTTAAATTGATACTTATAAGGTTTAAAATTAGGGTTTGGCTTCCCTTCAGTTCGTGATCAGACTGGAGGATTCTGTTGGGCCCATAGGGGCCCACCATGGGTTCCGTTTTGATAATCTGAACCGTTTTATGTGTAAAACTCGGCGAGTACTATATACTTGTAAAAAATCATGTTGATCGGATATCAATAGCTACGTGATCAAATCAGTTTTGTATAATAAAAAAATAGAAGGTAAAAAAATAAACGGTTGACATAAATCTGATCCGATAAAATAGCTATCGATGTCTGATCACGTGATCTTTTAAAGACATAGTACTCGATGAGTTTTACACATTGAGCGGTTCGGATTATCGAAACGGGACCCTTGGTGGGCCCCCACGAGTCCAACAGCACCCTCCAGTCCGATCACAGACTGCAGGGAAGCCAATCCCTTAAAATTATACATATATATATATATATATGTATGCAAGAATAATGTAAAAGAAGACGAAAGAGGATGTAAACGACTTTTTCTTGTTAACTTTAACGATGTTAATGTTGCAATTTCGCCCAAGTTTATAGGGAAAGTCTCTACTTATATTTGAACAATAAAAGGGTAAACTGCTCAGGCCTTTAACTACTAGGGGTGGACATCAGCCCATTGGCCTGCCCAACCTGCTCCGCTCAGTCATATTTTTCTAGGACTTAAGAAGGCTGTTTTAACCCATAAGGCCAGGCTAGGCCAACATTTTTAGCCCGAAATATTAATGGGTTAGGTTTGGAATTTATACTTTCAATCCAGTCTGGCCTAGCCGACGCGCTATTTATTTATTTATAATACATTAAAATATATCTTTTTTTTGTTAGGATTTAGACTTTGTTTTTGTTGATTTTATTGAAACTCACATTTATGGTGATATGTGATTGAATTTATTTAAGAAATCTTTCAATTTATACACAAAATCCTTCAATTTATAATGATATCAATATATTTATTTAAGAAATATAATGTGCAATTGAATTTACTTACGGAATGATTTAACTTTTTTTTAACATATAGCCCGACGGGTGAGTTCAGGATTTATAATTATTTTTTGGACCGGATTTGGACAGATCATAAAGGACCGATGTTAGAACTGGGCCAGATTTGAGCAAATACAAAATATCTTATTATACAATACTGGTATATTTCGAAACTGGCCCGGCCCGATGTTTGTCTACCCCTATTAACCACAAGGGGATAAAATTAATTTTATCCTAATTTTTATATTTACCATACTAAATTTCTACAATAATAAAATATAGGGTTAAGTACACTTTTCACCCTAGTAGTTTGATTCAAATTTCACTTTAGTTCCTATAGTTTGCAAACTTCACTTTACCCCATGTAGTTTGGGTTATGTGCGGTTTACCCCTAACGTTTGGAAATGACTACATAACTCTCATGTGATTTGTGGACTGAAGTGCACCGTTAAACATTCCATCTAACTTAACAGCAAGTGTGAAACATGTAACATAAGGTGGTTATATGTCCATTTTCAAATTTCAATAGGGTAAATTGCTTGCTCATTTTCAAATTTCAAGGGGGTAAATTGCACATAAAATAAACAAATTTCAAGGGGGTAAATTGCACATAAAATAAGCACAAGGGGTTATAGTGCAATTTATCGTCCAAACAAATGTCGAAAATACAAGGGTATTTTAACTTTTTTTTATTAAATCGTTAACGGCCTAATGGTGCACTTCAGTCCACAAATCACAAGAGGATTATATGGTCATTTCCAAATGTTAAGGGGTAAACCGCATATGGTCCAAATCACAAGAGGGTAAAGTGAAGTTTGCCCTAGTTTCAATTTGAATAATATATTTGATCTCTACACTTTAAGTCTAGTTTTAATTTGGTTATCCCATCTAAATTTGTGATAATTTTGTCTACATGTACAACTTAGAAATTTGATAAATGTTCCAAAATAATTAATTTTAACATTCAATTTAAACGGAAGAACCAAATTGAAACCTTAAAAAATTGACAATTGTTCCAAAATTGTTAATTAATTGTCAATTTTAATCTTCAATTTAGACAAAGTACCAAATTAAAACTAAACTTAAAGTGTAAGAACTAAATTATTTAAATTAAAATTTTACGGATTAAAATAAAATTTAAATCAAATTACAAGAGTGAAAAGTGTAATAAACCCTAAAATATATAATACACTAGTGAAGTTGCCTTTCAAATTACAATGACTCATATCTATAAAAAAAAATTTACAATGATAATTCATAATTAACCCAACAATGGGTCATAATCAAATAACACAAATATCATAATTAGAGTTGCATATGACACACCATATAATTTTCCTACTAATAAACATTATACATTTAGGTGGGGATTGTCAAAAAAATATAAAAAAAGGGGGTTAATTGGTGATAAATCCAATATAAGGAGGGTATAAAGCATTAGATCCAAGAGATATATATATATATATATATTTGTTGATTAGAGGTCCACACTTTGTGTAATCGTTTGGTGGAGAACATTTTGTTTTAAATTTTACCCTTTGACTTTTTTAATCTATTTGACTTTTCATTGACTATCTGTTGAAATTGTTGAAAATTATTTTTATCTATTGAAATTTTTTATCTATTAGAATTCTTATCTATTCAATTTTTTTTTATTTGTTCAATTTTTTTACCGATTGAAATTTTCTATCTGTTCATTTTTTATTTGTTCAAATAACAAATCATCACCAAAGAAATCTTTTACTTTCAGATTTAGATCTGGCTAATTGCCAATCAGAGACCTCCATTGACAAAAACAAAAAAAATCCTAAAACATCTCTAACAAGCTTTCTGTTTCATCTCTATCAATTCGCATATCAATTTTATCTAAAATTGACTGTTCCATTCTTTCCTGGCCACCAGAGAGAGAGAGAGAGAGAGGTAAATTTATCTACATCAAAACAATAGCAGAAAGAATCATGAAACACTATTATCACCTCGGTTCAATTACAGTGCTTCCAAAGACAAATGCATACTATTATGCACAAGGCTTTAAAGAGCAGCCGCAATCGTTTCGTAACGCTGTTATATAATGCCGTTATGTAACGGTTGTGGTTGTTACCACCACCCGTTACGGCTGTTATAGCGGTATGACGGAAATTCACATGTGTAACGGCCGTTTCGGTGTTACGTAATAGCCGCAGCGGTACCGTAACGGCTGTAATGGTCCATTATACACCGCTACACCATTTTATAATATTCTGAATAACTTCTTTTCCCAAAAAAATAAAATAAAATAAAAGCTTACAAAAAAGAATAAATACTCAAGTGATTCAAGCTCAAAGAAAAAATCTTATATGAATTTATTTTGTTTATAATTTTTTTTAATTTTTATTTCATTACATTAGCATGTAAAATAAAAAATATATATAAACAATAGTTGCTTTTATTTTTACAATCATTTTATTTAATATTTAATTATAAATATTTTTTATTTTGTTACTGTAATGTGTTTCTAAAAAATGTCTTTAAAAAACTCAAAAATATTTTTTTGTTTATGGCACAAATTTTATTTTTATAATCATTTCATTTAATATTTAATTATAAATAATTTTATTTAGTTACCTGTAAAGTGTTGTCTAAAAAAAAGCCTCAAAAATAATTTTTGTTTATGACACAATTTTTATTTTTATAATCATTTCATTTAATAATTGTGAATATTTTTTTATTCAATTAGTTCAAGTATTGGTCAAAAATAATTTGTAGACATTTAAAATCAATTATTCTTAAAGTCATTAACTATTGAAATGAAATGTAAAAAGATCCTTTTATAGTGATTTGAAAATATGAAATATATTGGATTATACTTAAAATTAACAAAAATTGATCAAAATCTATTTTAAACCATAATAAATGTGATTCTAGAAAAAAAAAAATGTGTATTGGTAAGTTTTCTTCAAATTGTGCGAAAAATAAAAAAAATCACGGTTCCAGTTACCACAACCATTACGCTACGGCCTTTATACCCTGCAACCGCAACTGGGTCACCACAACCGTTAGGACGACTGCAACTGTTTTTCGAAACCTTGACTATACACTATTATTGACCAGCTAATCATAGAAGTTACAATCCCAAGAGTGAGAAAACAAAATATAAAAAATCACTCCCTAGTCTATGAATCTCAAGAGTTTTAAGGCTCCAAGCAAATACTATTAAGCACTAAAAATGAATGATTTTATCATATGGGAGTGTATCATCTGCTCTTGTTATTCCCTTAAGAGCTTTCTAAAATAATGCATAAATTACGAGTTTATCAATTTTATCTATTGCTTACTGATTATTCAAATACACAAACAACTATTCAACAAATCAAATATATATAAACATATATAGCACTAAGGTAATATATTAGATCTATAGACATATTTTTCTATATATGGTGGTAGTGGTGGCCGTGGTGATGGCAGTGTGGTGGTGGAAGTGAGACTGACAGTGGTAGTGTGATGACATTAATAAGACTTCAGTCTGAAAAATATTTGATACCTTTTGAAAGTGAAACATTTCATGCCCAAATAAGCTTGTTTTTTGTTGATCATGAAAAATATTTTTTGTTGATTTTCGTTTTCCATTATATCAAACGCTAGAAAATACGGACCAGGCAAAAGGCTCGAACCCAAAATCTTCAATATGAGAAACATCTTTACTACTTGAGCAACACATAACATATTTATTTTTAAATCAAAATTAAAATTTATATTTTACAGATTTAACAGCACACTCATCAATAGACACACCTACTAATATATATATATATATATATGTACAAATACATTCTAACCTTTGATGCTGTATCTTCAACTTCCCAACATTATGTAATACATCAGCTTGACCACAATTCGCCATGACTCCAAAAGCTGCGCCGCCTAGATCAAATTGAAATGCATTGCAACTACAACACACAAAACAAAGATAGCTATAGTTACTGAATTTTGTGAACATGCTAGATTTGATATGCATGTCACCCAAATATCCTTTGAAAACCACATATGCTTATTAGATGGCTTCAATTAATGAATGAAAATGATGGGGAAAAAAAATGAAAACACTTCTGGTGTTTCTCAATTTTAATGGGGAAGGATTTTCTTCCATCCACTGTTTTACTAGAGGGCTGTTTTACTAGAGGTAGGGCCGGCCCTGGGCATAAGCCCACCAGGCCATGTCTTAGGCCCTCTCAAAATAGACCCCAAAAAGGAGCCCCTCCTATTATAGGTTAGTGTAATATATTAGGTATATTTTAAGTCGAAAAAAAATTAAAAAAGGTCTAAACTAACTTAAAATAAATGGACTTATTAAAAATTAAAAGACCCATTCAAAATTAAAAAGGCTTGTTCAAAATTAAAATGGCTCATTCTCTCTCTCTATCCAATTCCTAATCCTAACTCTTAATTCAATTTTCTAAAAAAATTGAGAGAAGCGGCACAACGAATTTCTTAAAAATTTAGAGCAAGTATGATTGATTTATTTGCTTCTAAAAATGCAAGAAGAGCGAGGATCAAGTTATACTTATTAGTTGTTGTAATGTAATGCTAAGTATTTTATGTGATTTTGACACAAATCTTTTGTCCTTTACCTTCATTTTTTTTTTCGTTGAATGCAAAAAAAAAATATGTGAAGAGCCCCAAATGATCTAGTGATGTTTATTAGTTGATTATCAGCTTTGGACCCTGAAAATCTTAGGGCTGGGCTTGACTAGAGGGGTGCTTGTTGGGGTTTATAGAGCCACCACATGTCTTATTTTGATATAATTTAAAAAAATTGGATTTATTTGATAATCATAATTATATGTTTTCATTACATTTGTTTAAAGAAAATGAATAATAGGTATAATTTTGAAATTATCCATTCATTTTTTTAAAGACCAATATGAAAAAAATTATATGGATAAAAATATGGCATCAATCTAAATTTTATCATGCATGATTTAGACAAAAAAATGATTTAAAAAAAAAAAAAAAAAAAACAAAAATCATACAAATTATACGATTCGGATCGTTGAAATGAGAATTATAATGTATTTGACGAACCAATTATCACACTTGTATTTCAACAGTAAATTAGATAGAGCTCATTCCCATATTAATAATAAAAAGTAAAAACATGAAAGGGGGCTTGTTTTCTTCAAATTTTAAGAGATGTCTATATAATTTACTCTAAACTATACAACCGAACGCATGTTTGTTTTATTCATTATTTGAGAAGAGGGGTAGAAGGGAATATAGGTGTTTGGTTGTAGAGTGTGAGCTATCTAATATTGTTTAATATAGTGTTAATAAGAAAATAGGGGTTTAGCTATACGATTTAAATTTTCTAAATTCTTAAATTAATATTTTTACACATTAGATTAAATTTTCACTATTACTGATTTGCAGAGATTGTCTTCAATTAGACTACATGAACTGAAATAAGAAGCAATAGGGACCAAATAGATGCATCTATTAATTTAGGAATGAAGTAAAAAAAATGTGACTATAGTTTAGGGCATAACAAAATATGACAATTAAAAAAAAAAATTCGTTAAATACAACAAAATATGAAAATGTATTGAATTTTCGTATTTTTTTTATTATTTGGTGAATTTTTAAAGTTTTTGTTTCACAAATATTACTTTTTAAATGTATATAGATTAGGTGTATATAAGAAATAAAAAAATTTCGTAAAATATTAAAAAAATCACTAAAAAAGAAAACAAAAGAAAGTCATATTTCTAAAAAATAAATTAAACCAAATAAGGTAAATATAATTTTTTTCATCCATATAACTAACGAATACTGATGCAAATAAGCTAAGTATAACACCCACTGTAATTAGGAGAGGTTGGTGTAAATTTACCTAGCCAAGCTCTCATTCTTTTATTCAATATTTGAAGTAGAGAGAAATATGGGTGTTTGGTTGTAGAGGGTAAGCTGTCTAATATTGTGTCAGTAAGAAAATAGTTATACAATTTAAGTTGTCTAAATTGTAAAATTATTTTTTTAACCATTAGATTAGATTTTTCTCATTAATGATTTGGACAGATTGTCTCCAATAATCAGACCATTTGAACTAAAATCATAAACAGTAAAGACTAAATATATGTAATTAATAATTTAAGAATGAAATAGAAAAAGTGACTATAAAGTAAATTTCAACAAAAATAAAATAAATAAAGACTACTAAAAAAGGGCCCAAGTCTTATACCTCTTTCAATTGCAGCCATTAGAGTCGATAGCCTTTATTTTCACTACATATTTATTACTTCCAGATTTTATTATTTTTTATTTTTCGCAAGATGATTTCCAATCAAGTGCTTTTTTATAAACATCAAAGGAAATAAAATAGCTTTATTTTGTATGATACAAATAAAGTGCTAAGAAACTGAAAGAAGACTAGATAGCAACCATAACCAAGCTATAGTTTTTCATGATCAAGTAAAAGAATGCAGAAATTGGTTGTAAATACTTACCAAAGGACACCACTTGTATTGGCTAATTTCACCTTGCTCTGTTCCTGTGAGAATGTTTTTTAAATCTCTTTCCGCTTTTGTTTCGTTCTCCTTCAATAATCCTCACAAGCCATTTAGGTTTTCCTCTAGAGAATATAAAATATCCCATAACAAGTCCCCACACCATCCCACATATATAACCCGGTAATATGACTTCCCAAGTGAATCCACTTGAAGTATTGTCTTCTTGTTGAAACATCAAGGGTGGTGGCTGTGGTGTCCTTGGATTGCATACATTTAACAATGGAGGTCCACATAATGCCAAGTTGTCAATGTAGGAACCATTTAAAAATGTATCAAATTGGTTGCCTTGTGGTATTGGTCCTACTAGTTGATTCCGCGAAAGGTTTAAGACTTCAAGGAATTTCAAATTCCTCAGTTGTTGAGGGATCTTCCCAGTGAGTTTGTTGGAAGAGAGGTCTAACCATTCGAGCATTGTCAAATTAGCAAGAGATGCTGGTATATGACCTGTAAGGCTATTGTGAGACAAGTTGAGCCCTTGAATTGAATTTAATTTTCCAATGATCTGTGGAATCTGACCTTCGAAATTGTTTTTCGAAAAATCAATTGCAATGAAAATGGTTAGGACTTTTACCATTTCTGTTGTTGATCCTTTGATTACTATAGTCAAACAATCATTATAGTAATATAGTGAATAACCAGACATCCCTATGTATTGCAATTCAAAACTAGCTTCGTCAACATTCATCATAGCATTGAGATTCTTGAAATATTTTCTTGGCAATGGACCAGTAAAATAATTGTTTGATAAATCCATAACTCGCAAGTTGGGGAAGGGAAAATTGAACTTGGAATTCGGTATAGGTCCATGGAATTTGTTAGATCTCAAAATTAGAACTTGTAGCGAAGTTAAATTTTCCAACCAATATGGAAATTTATCGGAGAACATGTTATGTCCAAGGTCTAGCACTAGTAGCCATTTGCAATTCTCTAAAGATTTTGGTACTGGCCCCTCAAATCCATTGCTATCAAGGTTGATAGTTTCAAAGGAATTTTCCTTCGCAAATGTATCAGGAATGGTGCCAGAAAAATTGTTCTTCCGCAGATCGAGTACAAAGAAATATTTGCTGAAATTTCCTAAACATTGTGGAATAGAACCATTAAAGCTATTACTAGATAGGACAAGAATTTGAAGGGAAATTGCATGACAGAGCATGTCTAGCTCACCACTGAAGTTATTTGATGAAAGAATGAGACTATCAAGGTTCGCGAGTTTGAAGGTTGAAATTGGAAACCTACCATGTAGGTTGTTATTGCTCAAATCAACAACAATTAAATGACTGGATTTGAACTCTTTTACATGGCCAGTCAATTTGTTATTACTGAGGTTGAAGTACCCCAATGTTGGTAAGCTGAAGACCCAAGATGGAATTGTACCGCTGATTAAGTTATCACGCAAATTTAACCACACTAGATTTGGAAGTTCAATTATTTGTGATGGAAGAGGTCCTCTTAGCTGATTATTCGACAAACCTAACTGAAAAAGTTTTGTTAGGTTTGCACCCAATGATGGAAATGGACCGCTGAAGCTATTTGAATCAACATGTAAATAAAGAAGACTTTTTACATTAGGTAAAAAATCTGCGATTTTACCTTCAAAATTATTACAGTGAACTCCCAAGTAGACGAGATTTCCAAGGTTTGAAAGTGAAGATGGGAGCATGCCAGTGAAATTGTTATATCCGATGCCTAAATGAGTCATTTCCGTAAGGTTTCCGAGCGACGTAGGGATGGATCCATAAAATTTACAATCAACGGCAACCAACGTTTTCAAGGACTTCAAATTCCCAATTGAGTCAGGTAGTTCTCCAGAGAAATTAATGTGTGAAAGGTCCAAGTACTGGAGAGGACTGCTCGAGTTTATAAACTCTGGAAAATAACCAGTGAGAGCAAAATTAAAATGTATACTCAGGTCATTCAGATGTGGTAAATGGAATATTCCGTCAGGAAATTTTCCACGCAATCCACAGAAAGAAAGATCGAGAAGTGTTAAAGAAGTCAGATTGAGCAAGGAATTCGAAACCACTGAAGATATGTTTTCTGGTGAATCGACTAAATTCAGATGAGATTGGAGACATACCAAAGTAATTGAAAGCAAGGTTGAGGCTTTGGAGGTGAGGAAAGTAGTAGAAGATGGTGCTATTGGGTTGGATGGTGCCGTTGAGCCAGCTGCAACTGAGGTCGAGGCCAATTACTTGATTTGTGTTGTTGTCACACTCGACCCCATCCCATGAGCAACAATCAGAACCCTCCTTCCACGACTCCATCTTCGGGTAAGAAAGGATTCCGACAGAATCACAGTAACCGTAGGAAGCATCATTATTGAAGGAAAATTGTTGCTTAAATTGGAGCAATGCAGAGGTCTGTTGTTGAGTGCAGAGTTGGGCATGCAAACAAGTAATCTGGAAAAAACAAAGAAACAAAAAGAGGTGAAAGAGTTGATTGTTAGAGACCATCTTTGCTCGTAGATTCAAAAACAAAGGTTGTAATGCTTGTTGAGTATTACCAGGGGAGAGGCCAAATGCTTTATAGGCAAATGTAGGTGCAATGCAAAGCCTACAAACAAGTAAAGTGACTTTGACTACTCAGTCTTTCATTGATGCCTACAAAGCTGGACACCCATAACGTGTTTTTCACTCATCAAGGAAGACTTGAGTACTTCATAAATGTTGATCATAATCAACCGCTTAAAATGTTATACGAAATAAAGTTTGACACATCTACGGTGTATATACTTTAAAAGACAATACATCACAACATAAATCAGTTTGACAAAAATAAATGTCAAAATTTATTTTTAAATTTTTAAAAATTATTTCTACTCACCAAAGATAAAATTATATAAAAATAATAAATCTTTTACATTTTTATTTTTTTACCAAATTAATTTTTAGCATGTGTTTGGATGATGATCATGTAATATGTGGTTATTTTTGTTAATATTTTTGGATGGTTATCATGTAATAGATAGTTGCATTTATTGTTAACAGATATTTTTGGACGGTTATCATGTAATGGAAAGTTATTAGATTTTTAATGTATAATCGATATGTTTAATATATGAAATATTTTAATTTTTAATTTTTTTATTTAATGGATTGGTTTAATAATGACGTCAAAGTTGTTGCTATATTTGATTTTTGAAAAAATAAAACAAATTTAATGAAAATAAATATCAAAAAAAATTATTTTAAAAAATTATTTCTACTCTCCCAAAAGATAAAATTATATAAAAATGACGTGTTTTTAAATTTTTTCAATAATTTAATTTTTAGCTTCTTAGAAAAATTTTCTAAAAATAGATTTTGAAAACCAAACTAAACAAAACTTTATAACCAAAAAAGTTGCAACATTATTCATTAAAAAAATGCCATTCGGTGTGTTTGGTTAAAGTTTTATGAATTTAATTTTTTGAAAATTGAGTTTTTTGTTTATCGTGTTTTTTTTTTTAGTGAATATTTTTAAAATTTTAAGCATCTTTTTTACTCTTTTAGATGCACCTTACTTGGATGTATCTAAAACCTAAAATATTTGTGAAAAAATATTTCAAAAATTAATAAATACACAAAAATACGAAAACTATATAGAATTTTCATTTTGTTTTTGTATTTTTGGTATTTAGTAAATTTCTTTTTCATGAAAATTATACTTTTTAAGTGTATTTATATCAGGTGTGTCTAAAAATAAAAATAAAAATTTAGTAAAAACTAAAAAATACGGAAAACAAGAAAGTAAAATTTTCTGAAAAGTGTTTTTAGAAAACCCAAACGAAGCAAAGTGATTATATTTCAAACAACATATAAGTTAAGTAATACAAAATAAGTTGTATGACTACTTCATCCTTCAAATTGAGCAACAATGTCTTCAATTGTCCTGATTTGAAATGAGATTTAAAATTCATGATTAAATGTATCACAATTGAAAAGTCAATGACCAAAATAATAAAGGCCCAAATTATAAAGATTGTTAGTGTAATTTGCCCCAAAAGTTATTAAAGACAAAAAAAAAAAAAGGAAAAAATTTGAGGCGTTTTTATGACAACCTCATCCTTAAAAGACATACACCAAGATCTAGAAAATTCTATAATACACACTCATTTTTGGGTATGTAACTCATGTCTAGTTATAACTTTTGTGATTTTTTATTTTGATCTATTGTGGTGTTGGTTATAACGTAGTTATAACTCATTGTTGTGTTAGTCTCTTCTTTTTTTTTTATTTTGGTTATTACTAAAGAGTTTTTTTTGTTATGCCTTAAGTGATTTTGATTATAATCTTTGGTCATAACTCATCGTGATATTAGTTATGAATTATTATGGTTATTATTTTGGTTACAATTGAAGATGTGTTTTCCTATACCTCAAGTAGTGTTTGGTTAAGACCTATTATTATTTTTAATTATGACTTAAAATTATTTTGTTATGACATTTGTGATGTAGAATAACCCCAAGGGAATTTTATAGTACATTGTGCATCTTGTTACGCATTTTTGTGATGCATGTTATGTAATTTTTGTAGTAAATATAATGTATTTTTTTAGTAGAGATACGATAATTTGTTATTCAAAAATGAAGTTATGTATTTTATGGTAATGTTATTGGTAATGCTACACATTTTTTAGCAAACAAATATGTAACATTATCACGAAATTCATAATATTATTTCTGAACTACAAATTGTAGTAGCTCTATTAAAAAATTGCGTAACATGACCATAAAAATATATAACATACATAACAAAAATATGTGATATACATACGTATATTGTACATAGCATGCATTAAGTGAGCGACGACTAATAAAAGACAAGCTCGAGCGGAAAAATCCTCTCTAGTCCACTTTTTACATTGAAAGATGTTTGGATATGTGAGATTTTGATGGGTCAAATTTTGGTGATTTGCATTATTTATTTTGTACGCATTAATTTAAAAAATTAAATTAATTTGATAATTGACCACATGACTTTATGATATTTATTTTCAAAAATGAATGTCATTAACATTTATTTTCTTAAAACAAATATGATAAAATTATTTGGATATAATTATCAATTTTTATTTTTATTTTTATTTTTTTCATAGAGCATTTGACACCCCATAATGTGAATAATGGAGAAAGTAGAATGCCTTATACCCAATATGGAAAATGCTATGGTGTGCACTCCTTTAGAGGTGTATACCATATGCACCCTATAAAATGTATAATTTTATTTTAAAATTTTGTAACATTAATTATAAAATATATAATCTCGTCACAAATTAGTGTAACAAAAAATATCGTAACCAAGCCATAAACTATTGCAATATAAACCACAAATTTTTGAACATTTTATTATGTTAATTTATGACGAGATTATACATTTTGTAATTGATATTACGAATTTTATAATAAAATTATATATTTTTATGATAAAATACATATGGTATACACCCCTAAAATAGTACACATGATTTTCCACCAAAATATTGATGCAATGCAAAACCAACAAGTGACTTTGACTAGCTAGTCTTCACTGATGTCTACATCATGATTATCAAAATTCTAATTATGATACTAAATGATTTTGACTAGCTAGTCTTCATCGGTATATACAGTATGGCTATCAAAATTCCAATTTTACTAGTAGGATTTTAAAATTTTACAATTGATGCAATGCAGGCCGACAAGTGACTTTGACTAGCTAGTCTTCACTAATGTCTTATCAAAATTTCAATTATGATACTAAATGACTTTGACTAGCTAGTCTTCACCGATATCTACAGTACGGTTATTAGAATTCGAATTTTGCTAGTAGAATTAGTTAGATCAAATGATTCAAATCATACTAAGATTTTAAATATTATAGAATCTTAGAATTATTACGATTATAGTTATAAAATCATATAGAATTACACTAGGATCCTGAATCTATTATGATCTTGATCCTATCAATTTTTTTTTTCTTGTTAGTTATTTCTTATATATTTATATATATGTGTATATTTGTACAAGCAAGAAATAATCTGTCGTGTATAATCCTGTTGATCAAGTTTGCACTTCTCCAAATGTTGTCGTCTTATCACCTGAAAACACAAACTTGAGCTAGCCGGCTAGTGTATGCCGAAAACCCCTTTGATGCCTAAGTCAGCAAGTAGACAATAGACAAAAAGCTCTGTGTATTCGACAGTCAGAATTTCAATATCTGAGATTAAGGTTTGGTTAGAGTTTTTGTAGATTCCGCATGGCACAATCCTAATAGGACTCTAATTCTCCAATTTAGAGTCCTTCTAGGAATCACATTCCCAAAAGATAATGCTTATCCTTTAACACCCTCCTCACTGCAAGCCAAGTGAGATGGCATAAGTCTTTGCTTGGCTTTCTGCCATGCAACCGGACTACATTTGCTCTGTCTGACAATGGCTTAGCTGTGCAACACGCAGCGTGAAAGCTGACATTGCATGGCTCTCCTCCTAGCTCGGTTCTCCTCTCTGTTTGACTACCTTGCTTGGTAGCTCGGCCATAGCGTTGACCGCAACTGGGAAGTAGCTAGGTCCAAAAATATGGGCATTTACTAGTTCAGTCAAACATCTTTGACTGCCACTAGGAAATAGCCAGGTCCCGTAGCTAGGTTTCATAGCTAGGTCCTGGAGCTAGGCCTCGTAACTAGGCTTTCTAGCAATCTAGAATTTTTCCTTCTGCTCGAGCGGGGGAGTTGACGCTCGAGCGGACTTATGAGGCTTCCGGTATTTTTGCAGTCTGTTCAAAATTCTGAGAGTTGTGAATTCCCGCTCGAGCGTAGGAGTGGTCGCTCGAGCGGCTGGCTTTGTTGGTCTGCGCGCTCAAACGTGAGATTGAGCGCTCGAGCGGTCTGCCTGGTTGAGTTTGAATTTCTGAGGCTAGTGGGATTATTTTTTTTGACATTTTATTATTATGTTTGGAGCCTCCATATTTTATTTTGCGTCATTGATTGAAGTGGTAACATGATGGTAAAGTAAGATTGGATCAAAAACTTTAATTCGAATAATCTTCCTACGAACAGCCGTCACTCTTTTGCCCTTTTCTTTTTCCACACTTTGAATTTGGGTGTGATGCTAGAACCATTGGAAAGCTTGTTTCTAGGGCTTCAATTTGGACACAAGAACGATCTAAAACGGAGTCCAGATGAGAGAGTTATACTTGTTTGAAGTTTTGGAATCTGTGTTGGAAGCAGGTACGCTCGAGCGGGAAAATTTACGCTCAAGCGGACCGCGCGAATTCAGCAAGTTTAAAGAGACTTTTTTAGATCATTCATCACACTTTCCTCTCCTCTCTTCATCCCTCTCACCCTAGGTCCGAAAACCCTAGGTTTTTGATCTCAAATACCTTCCATTTCCCTAAGGATTGGCCAAGATCCCTTACAAGAAAGTGAAGAGGCTTGAAGATGAACATTTTCTACCGATTGGAATTTCGGATTTGTGAAGGAATCTCATCAAAGCTTTGCTCCTTTGCTTGATTCTTGAGGTAGGGGTCCTAGTTCTTCTTCAATACTACATTTATAGATAGATTTGTGGTATTTTGGTTATATACATACTAAATCTAC